CCACTTCCCCATGCCATATAGGCAGCTTTTCCAAGTAATTCCCATCAAATGTTTTTTCTCCTGTAAATTTCTGTTTACAATGAAGAAAGAACGTTTCTAATCTTTATAACAGAGACACCCTAGCAAATGTGGACCAAGCATATACTTTATATTGTTAAATCTCTTCTGAATTTAACAGCAAAATCTAATACTCCTGCTCTAAGATTTCCCATACTGCAACAGAGCACCAGCTGACCTGAGTCCTGATAGTTTTTCCATCTTATTCAGAACTTAGACAAGTTCCACCTGCTCAATGCTAAAAAGAAAAAGAAACCTATTTTAAGAATATACTTGTGTGCTCATTGTTCTTCTTCAGAGAAGGATAAAGTACAAGTTTGGGTCAGTGTGAACAAGACCATTAGTTCTGCATACTCAGACAGAGATTCTAAAACATGCTGACAAAAGCATGTCTTAAATTTCTCTTAAAAACATAGGATGTATCACTTCTTAAAAAGGGCCCTGAATGCTAATAAGAGATCCATAACGGTGTCTCTGGAGACTGTTGTCTGGATAAACCCAGCAACAGGTTCCCCATGAGAAGCAGAATTGGTAGTTTCCAAGACCCACCTTTAACTCAGTCTCCACACCCTTCTAAAATTTGGTTGCTGATACATGTTTCAGACCCACTGAACTACTACTGAAACTGTCAATAAGAATGTCAAGAGCAAAGTGCTTCCTTCCCCCCACCAGCATCAACACACTCAGAATAAAAAATAATATCCAGTTATTCTTAATCCAAATCCTGCATCATACAGGCCAACAGCTACAATAAAAGACAGCGACAAAGTCACTATCTGTATGAGCTGGATTTTAGCTAGTAATCTAAAGTTAAAACTATTCCTATCTTATTCTAAGTTATATTTTTGTTAACACAATGCCATGGCTGATTTTTTGGTTACGCAGTAATTTGCTTTTCCAGCAGGAGAAGCTATAACTTACAAATTGCTTAACAGATGGAAGTTCTACATTGGGTACATCTCACTAGTGATTCACAAAGTAGGTGTTACTGCATTATGGATTATTTCTCCTTAAGTAGCTAATGCCCCTGCCACTTGTTTATTGTTTCGTTACGCTGAACTCCTTTATGACTGCCTAGAGAGCATCCCTCTGATTAGGGATAAAAATACTATGAAACAAGAAAACTGCTTTACTTGTGCCTTAAATGCTTCTAATTTGCGTATTCCAACTCTATATTTCCACTTTACTATCAAGCTAGCCTAATCAATAAGTTAATGACTGCACCTCACCTATTCCCTTCCTCATCAGTGATGGCTGCCATAGACAAAATGACTAGCTAAGGAGAACTTTGAGGTCACAGACATAAGTCTGCATTTAAGCTTAGGTTGTCAAAGGAGGCAGATATCCAACTCCTTCAAAAATTCCAGCCTTGGAATTTAGCCTACAGCCACTAAATTGTACAGTATCTAACAGAAACTACATGGGCTTTCCTATCTTATCTACCAATTAGTTGTAAAACTAGTTACCATCCTACGCTTGCTATATTTTTTGTAACAAACAGCTTTGTACTTGTCTGGCATCTCTGCTTATCAGCTGTCTCTAACATTTAGCTCTTTAGGACCCTCTCTTTTTCCAGCACCCAACACAGAGTCCTGGTCTATCATAGGAAAAGTTCTTAGATCCATAGATTGTTAGGGGCTGGAAGGGACCTTGCAGATCATTGGGTCCAGCCTCCCCGCTCTAAGCAGGAAGACAACTGGGGTTTGGTGACCCCAGTGAGGTGACTGTCTAGTCTCCTCTTAAAAACCTCCAGGGCAGGTGACTGCACCAGCTCTGGAGGGAGTGTATTCCACAGTCTGGACACCCTGAGTGTGAAGGAGTTTTTCTGGTATTAAGCCTGAAGCGGCCTTCCAGGAGTTTGTATCCATTGGTCCTGGTCTTCCCCGGGGCTGTCCTGGTGAACAATTGTTCACGAAGCTCCTGATGCACTCCTCTGATATAGCAATAAGCTGCTATCAAGTCCCCTCTCAACCTTCTCTTCTTTAGGCTAAAGAGGCCCAGGTCCCTCAGCTTTTCCTCATATGGCTTGCCTTGCAAGTCCCTGATCATACGGGTGGCACTTTTCTGGACCCTCTCAAGTTTTTCCACATCCTTATTGAAGTGCAGTGCCCAAAACTGGATGCAGTACTCCAAAGTGCCCAAACAAACTATTTTATTTGGAAAACATTTTAAGCTTCCAACCACCAACAACTCTACTTACCTCAGCTTTGGAAGACAAAATGCCACACATTATTCAACTTTCCTGTTCCAGCCACCTGTGTAACTTGAATATCTTGAATCACAATTGAGAATCCAACCATAGGCCCAGGAGATTCTCATTTTCCTCCAAAAAGACTCCACCCTAATTCACAGCTACAGATTTAAAGAAATAAATCTATATGCAGAATGAGACTGTTTTGAAGGGAAATAGTTATGCTGTGGCTCTTTGAAGCAGCCAGGAGAGACACTACTGCCAGTTTCCTTACCTGGGGGAATTTGCGTTTGATAGATGTCAGAGCACCTTCCGGTAGCTTGGCCAGTTCAGAATCTCGGACTGCGTGTACTGTTGTGGCTCTAGGTTGATGAGTTAATGCCTCTACCTGCAAAACAACAGATATGAAAACACAGCTAAGACTTCAAAAGGTAGTTCCAAGACTGCTGCCAAATAACATGCAAAAAATGCAGAAAATAGAACAGCCAGTCAATAAGAATCACATGCATGCATCCCTAGCTGCAGTTTTTACCAAATACACCAATTTGCTAAATCCTCATAAATGGTTTTGTGTGGCTACATCGCTGCATATAAATGCAACTACGTAAAAATAATATCCAGTGATTCAAAATCTTTGACAACTGACCATTTTCTGACCTAAGCAAATTACAGTTTTTCATGGAACTAAAGTCTACAGTAGCCAATTTAGACTGATAATATTTCCAATACACTGCACTTCTCTAAAAAAATGTTTTGGTACTACATTTTGCCCAGTACTGTAAATGTTATGATTACAGAAGCAATCCTATTAATGAGACAGGACCTAAGCATGGAAGAATAAACTATTCACCTAGTTATAGTTCTCAATTGCAAAGCACCCAACTTTATTGCAACATAATTCCTGCAAGATGTTCCTTTTGTTCTCAGAGCCTGGATACCAATAGCATTGAAAATGTTAAGGTTTCCTACAAAGATCGAAGAAAGAAATGCAGAGTGAACTTAAGTCTTGGCCATACCTGGCTACTGTTTTCACACTGATTATGATAAATGTATAAATTATAAATATGTATGCCTTGTACAGAATACGTGTGTATGAGATTGTGCATACATGCATGTGGATTTACCACCTACCAATATAGATCCCCAAATGTACTTTTCCACCCTTTTTAATAGCATTTATTCTATTAAGGATGAAGGTTCACATAGAAGAAAATGGAGGTATGCTTAACAATTGTCAATTTTAATTTTGTTTTGAAAACCAGAAATGGAGTTCCCTGCTGTCATATCGTCAGATGTTTAGTAAGACAACCTGCTGCGTGAGATGTCACCACTCAGGGCCCAGGGGTAAGCTGTGACATTTCATTGCTTAGTAACACAGTCTGGTGCCTAGTTCTGTAAGCTTCAGCCAAAGAGATATTTACTGGGGTTAAAATCCACACATTATGGGTTTCGAAAGAAAAAACAAAAAAACAGACAACATAGCAACTGTAATTACTATGGATTGTATGCTAAAAAAATGTACTCAGTGCTTAGCAACTAATGGGCACCTAGAAGAAAAATGGACGTCACTTTCCATTTTGGTCTACAGCAAAGGAGATACAAATAGAATATCAGGTTTTCATCTGCAATCATGTTAGTCATACAGTGTTCCAAAGTTCAAAGTTCTACCTAATTCTTCTAACAAAAGACATTTGTTTCACCAGCAACTTAGAATTTTAGCATAACTTTGCTTACAACTACAGATATATAGATATATATCTATACATATACACTATATACAGTATCTGTGCACACATCATAATATGGTATTTCACATTCCTCAAAAATATGGTTATGTCAAAGTTGAATCAAGTCCACAAAAAACAAAATAGACAAATAAGAATGACTGAATAAGTACAGAAGAGGAAAAAATATAGTATACCACAGTGGTGCTCAACCTTTTTGCCCGCTAAGCCTGATGGGCAGTGCCCGATAGGTCTGCAGGCCAGATCTAGCCAGTGTTCTTGATCTGGCACCCAAGACCAGTGGGGAAGATGGGAGGGGAGGGTGTGTGGACCAGACCTGATCCACCTGTAGGAGGAAAGGGGGGAGTCGGAAGGGGGGGGGG